GTAAAGCAAATAATCCTTTTGTAATGGGAATAATTTCTCCCAATGTATCTAGTTTTTTTAAAATCCCATTTTCATATATCTGCTTTCCTTCAAAGGGGGCCATACCTATCTAAATACAAGTGCATTTGCATATTGATTTTAACAGCAATCCTCTCAGGGGATGTTTAACCCTAGAGTTCCTTGCAATAGTGTTAGGGCTCTGCTATTTGTATTTTTAAAAATCATTATTGTAAACCCAGAAATTTCCAAATAGGAATAAAAAAATATATTACTCCCCCTTCAGCCCTGTCCCTGTGTTCCCACACAAACATATCCATATAAAGGAGTCATGAAATAGCATAAAATTCTCTAACTTCTGATAGAGATATGGCTCTGCAGTCTGTATTTTCCTTTCTTAATTTACTCTCCCTAAGTCTGGAAGGTCAGAATACAGGGAACTGGGTCAGCTGGGACCAAGCGGGGAAGAGGGTGTCTCAGACATACTCTGATGCCAGCTTTCTCTTGGGTTCACTCTAACAAAATGCCTGCCAGGTGCCTCCGGCCTAACGGAACTGTGAATCACTGTTTCCTCAGAGGAGACAAACCCAGGTACTTCTATAAATACAATCAGATTAATGGATCAGGCTAAAATGACCTGTTCTCCTTCCCAGAAAATGTTGTCACTATTGCACTAAGTTGCATCAAGCCAAATGGCTTCTGAATCAACGTGAAGAGGTAGGTTTTCAGCTGCTGCTAATTTAAGGGAGAAGGCACAATCCCATATCTACCTTCACGATAGAAAACCTTATGTTGTTTCTCATCAGCCTCCTTACCACAGAGGACACAGTGGCCACAGTGCCGGTGAGGACACTCCATGTACAACAGGTACCAGGGTGAGAGGCCACTTCCTAGGCATGGGTATTGGAACTTCTTTCTTTCCCACTCTCAACTTTGCAGGCAAGGACACCACTTTCTGCCTCAAACAAGCAACTCTGGCTCTTTTCAGCTTACATCATTTTGAAGATGGACACAAGGAGAAGGAAAAACACATGCAGCTCAGATACTTTTATCACTTCTGCCAGAAAAGCAGCTTAACACCCTTGAATCCTTAACCCAAGGAACAGTCCTTTTCCTGTCACCCTGGCTGACAAGGAAGTGGCTTGGGAGGAAGGCATTCCTGAAGATCTTTACAAATGAATATATCCTCCCCCGCCACAATACTCCATCTGCACCTGGAGCACCCTGGGCCAGGAGGCACGTGGGGTGCTGGGCAGGCCTAGAGGGGCCAGGCCAGGGCCAGCAGCAGTGCTCAGGCTGTCAGGGCATGCTCCGCGTGGGCACAGCCGAGGTGCTGCATGGCAGGCTGCCTGCTGTCTGGGAAGGGGGCCACAACTGAGAAAAGGTTCTCCTAAGTGGCTCCTTTGCCCAGGTGCTCGTTGTATTGAGAGAGAGGGACAGTGGGGAAATCACAATTGCTTCACACTTGGGCTGGACAGTTGTCTCTCCATCTAAATTGATTTGTTATTTCTCTCTGAACACAAGAGAAGGGTAAGGATCCAGGAGACCTGAGGTCACAGCACTCAAGAGGCCAGGCTAGAAAGGCCGTCCGGCTCCTTAGCCACTCTCCCTGCTGCTAGCTCTGTGAGACAGTACGGAGGATGTCAGAGACACATACAAAGGCCTGGGAGGGCTGTGGCTCTATTTCCAGAGAAGGAATTTAATTTCCTTATGGCAACCAAAGTTATAGGACATAATTCTCCCTTCGATGACTCTACCAAGCCCAGGTTCTGAGAATCCAGGGTCAGAACCAGTTCAGCAATGCAAGACTCTGGTATCTGGGCTTCATTCACTTTTCATTCTAATGTAATTCTTCCCTTTATCTCTGTCAAGAATCACTGTATACACCATTTTCATACTTTCTGTTATAATCACAGATCTGCAAACTAGTAATTCAGGATGACAGGAAAAGGTCATTCACCACCTTCCTACCCCAACTAACCATATAGAATGACAAAAGGTCACTTTTTAAAAATAAAAATTCCGGAAGAGATGGAGTTAGCTGCTCTGAAATTATTACTCATTATCCTGAGAGAATAAATAGTAATTACGTTTTTGAACACAGTCGGTTGTGCACTGGTTTGTCTAAGTGATCTATGAGTGCACTCCCCAGTACAGACGCTGATTTGGGAAGAGATTGGGAACACAAGATAACATCCACTCCTACAGACTTTCTCCTAAACAAGATTTTCTCAGTGGAATGGGCTTTAGATTACAAAGGGAAACAATACTTGTTTAATTTAGACCAGGCCCAGTATTCAGTTGAAGAAATCCAGAGAAAAGTAGAACGTAGGGAATGAGAATTCCATTTTGGGCTCTGACGTACATTTATTTATTTATTTTGTATCTTGGATGATTCATTTAACCATTCTTTTTTGCTTCAATTTCCTAATCTGGAAAATGAGGTCATTTTCATTGACTTTGTGAAAAAGGGTTTTTGGTAGTCTTTGATTCTAGGCATTGTGAAAGGAGCCAAAATCACTGCGAACCCCAAAGGCACTGGGTTCATAGTATGTCCCATTATATCCAGATCTGTTGTGTCACAGATATGGCTGGGTGTGTATGATCTCCCTGAAAGACTGCAAATGCCTGGTAGGTTTCTTCTGGTTTTTTTCCGTATTTCCAAATGTGGGCCTGAGCCACAGAGAATGCTTGATAACAAACATGGCCACTCGCTTTTTCTAATGATTAAGACTGAAAAGAAAATATGTAAACTCCTGTTTGAAAAATGCTTTGTAGATTCAGAGTGAATGCACATTCATCTGATCCTCATATTAGCTAGGTGGGAGTATTCCCTCCACTTTATACATGAACTGATGTTTGGAGAAGTTAAACAATTTACCTGCAAGCAACGTATCTAAGACTTGTACATAGTTATTTTTATTCCAAATCCACTGCTCCTGTTCCCAAGCTGCCCTGGGCCAGAACCTGCTTCGCATTTAGCAGACTAAGGGTTCTTTCTTGAGTGCCATTTTGGTCAAGGTTAAATAAATATGGTTTTCTTCAATGCAGATAGGAAATTGATAATGAGATGATTTGTAACAAATGATTAAACGGCCATCACTTGGGAATCTCCTCCCTCTCCCCTTCATGTGCTTCAAAAGTAAAAGGTGCTGGGTGAAGGTAGGAGCGATATCACTTTCCTTGAAGAGAAGGAAGCTTTGGCCCCACACCCCTCATCGTCCAGTCGTTCTGCAAACAGATACAGAGAGGATCCTTCTTCCTACCATCCAGTTATTCTGAAGGGATGATAACAGCCATTGGGGGGTTAAAAAGAGGCAGTGAACCCCCAGTTAATGAGTAGGAATTCAGCAGGCAGTGTAAGATAAATGGAGCTCTCTCTGCTTCTGCTAGAGTCAGCATGAACTGCGGCCCTGCGGCTTGTTTGTGGCAAATGGAGTGCGCGAAATATCAAAGGGCAGTGATCCAGAAGAAGACCGACTTTGACAAATTTTAAATTGGCCAGAAAGAAAACCAGCAAAAAAAAAAAAAGAAAAAAGAAAAAAAAGAAAAAGAAAAAGAAAGGAAAAAAAAAAAGAAATTATGCAATTCACTGTGTCCTGCAATTGCGGTGTTGCTGCCTCTGTATGAAATTAGTGGTAAAAACAGCAGCAACGATCGCTGGATGCTGGGAGCAATTATGAGCCATCTAAGTGAGATGCTTATCAGTGGCTGAAGCTTTTAGAGCTCTTGCTATGTACAGTTGTAAGTAACTTGCTCTTGAGCTGCAGTTACTTTAATTAAAGTGTATGGGGTTGGTCAGAAGTAATTATCCTGTTTGGAAAAGAAAGAGAAAAAAACCACTTCAACAATACTGGGTGGCAATAGATTTTAGAAACAACTTTGCCAATTTCTTGTATGTGTGCATTTCCCATAAAAGGATCAGGCTGTGGTGGGTTAGTTATCGGTGGCTGCTGCCCAATGGCAAACAATGGGACACAAACAGGGTTTATTGTAACCCAAGTCACTGTGTTTGGCAAGCGACCTGGCTCAGGTGCAGGCACAGTGCAGGCAAACACAGAGAAGTTTTTTCTGTCTCTAGATGGTGAGGATATAGAATCCACAAATGGTACTTTATTAATTAAATTACTACTTGGAACATAAAAAAGAGAGCAGCTCTCTTTTTCACTCCTTCCATTCATTGAGTATCACTCCCTTTTAAAGACAGTCTCTCTGTTCCTTTAGAAAAACAAAAGCAAAACCAACCAACCAACCAACAAAAGAACCTCAAGCAATTATCTTTACTAACATAGCAAGGGACTCCATGGGAGATCTGGGCAGAAAATCAGTGTTTTAAAAGAATCTGAAACTCATTCAGACTCTGCACTCAACACAGGACTCCCACAGTTTAGTCCTATGTTCTAATCATGAGTGCTTTCCAAAAGCTCTGAAAACAAATGAGCAACAGAGAGTAATGGCTGGAAGCATCAAGCGCTAATGCTCCCAGGCCTACTGCTGCCGTGTTTGGAAGCACACGGTGCGCAATCTTTACTTCCATTTCTCTGGCTCGGGATGACCCAGAACATTGCCTGGGTAGGGACTCCAGCTTTTCTATCCCAGGACACTGGCTCTCACATCCCTTAGAAATGAGGCAGGCTGCCTAAAGACACAGCAGAAACAGGATATGTTTAACTCCAGCATATTCTCTGCCTGATCAGCTTGCCCCCCAACAGCAACTCTAGCTAATCATTCTCTACAAGGACATCTAAAAAGATGGGCTATTTGTACCATAAGGAAATATCAGAAAAAAAATCAGGCGACTTTTGATTTTTTAGGGCCTACTTTCCCTCCTATTACACACACTATTTCATTCTACCAGGGTTCTTACCATATAGAGGACAGTAAATAAAGATTATCATGAATTTGATCAAATGCTTCAGTGCCTCCTCCCTTGGCCTATGAATGCACTCATTACAAATCAGCTGAATGGCTCATTGATTTGCCAGGAGGACAAGCAGACATACCCAATCGCTCAGCCAAGCGGATGTAGACTGGGTCCACCCGACGCATGGTTTTCACTAGATCCTTTCTGCGGAATTTGATTTCTACTGTCCCTTCTGGCTCCAGAACTGATCCCCTGGATCACAAAGGAAGAAAAGGAAACAAAACAAAACAGAAATAGAGGCTCTTTAAAGGAAGGAGACAACAGAATGAGGCCAGTTACAATTTGTGGACCAGGAAATAGCTTCATTATGGTTTTGCCCACCCATGGTTCATAGAAGTCACCCCAGGGAGAAAAGCAGGCACCAGAGAAGTGTCTAAGTGAGGTATGAGAAAGGCCTTGCAAAAAGCAATTAAAATAATTCTCATTACCACACCAGTCGACTTCCATCTCAAAGGGAGAAGAATACAGATTCCACCACCTATAGCTGATAAGGGTAACAGGAATCACATTATTTTCCAGGAAAAAAAAAAAAAAGATACCGTAGGCACAGTGTTAGGAGAACTCCGGCACTCAGGCTGTATAATGAGGGGTCAATGCTGATCGTCTATACCACAGCTGTCAGCCTGCTGGTAGGACTCTGATCAGACATACTAGCCCAGGCCAAGTAGGAGGTAAAACATTTTGCCCACTGCTATAGAAATGAGCAAAGGTCTCAGGGTTATTTTGAGTGTATACTAATGATATTCTATCACTAGAAACTTTGCCCTAAATACGTTTAAAAAAAAAAATTTCTTTTAAAAAAAAATTACAGCTAATATTTACTATGTAGATGGCACTGTTCTAAGTGCTTACATATAAATCCTACAACAACCCTATACCTAGTCTACATTTACTATGAGGTAAGGTACTGTTATTATCCCCATTTTACAGATGAGAAAACTAAGGCACAGGAAGTTAAGAGACTTATCTAAATGTAGCAAGTAGCAGAGGTGGATTTAAAACCAAACAGTTTGATTCCAACATCTGAAGAGGAATTGTCTTTGATCTGTTATATCAGATCCAGGGCCAGCTCAGGACTTAAAAATAATAAACCCCTAGTATAGAATTCTAGCCTAGTGATTTGACAGTAAAGCTACCACACTCTCCTAAGCAGCTTTTTTTATTGTTGTTGTTGAGACAAAGTCTCACTCTGTCACCTTGGGTAGAGTGCAGTGGCATCATCATAACTCACTGCAGCCTCCAACTCCTGGGCTCAAGTGATCCTCCTGCCTCAGCCTCCCGAGTAGCTAGGACTACAGGTGTGCACCACCACGCCCAGCTGGGTTTTTTTTTTCTCTTTTTGGTAGAATCGGGGTCTCACTCTTGCTCAGGCTGGTTCTGAACTCCTGAGCTCAAGTGATCTTCCTGCCTCGGCCTCCCAGAGTGCTAGGATTACAGTCATGAGCTGGTGTGCCTGGCCTCCTAAGCAGCTTTTGAAGCTGAATTTTGAGGGGAAAAAGAGAAGCAAGTGTTCCAATAACATCACTGGACATGAGAATGTGCAATGCAGGTGCTGTGGTGCACCTCAATGACCATGCAGTTCATTCTATAGACAAGGAGAAGCAGCCCACAGCCCAGGGAGAGTAAGGACTACTCCAGGTTTCTTGCTAGCCAGTGGCAGAGCTGGGTTAAAACCTTGGACCTCCAGACTGACAATTCAGTCTTTCTACTCCAACTCACTTTAAGCTCCCTCTGCCACACACCTAAGAAAGAAATAGTGAATAGGCGTATCTGAACAACAAATAGGAGAGAGTCTCTCTCAGTTTAGGGGTGCCTGGAAGGGGGGACTTCATGATAAAAGAATCTGGGATGGGGGATTACACTGAGAAAGCCTGACTCTAGCCTGGTTTCCTTCTCATGCAAGCAGACACTGTTTAGCAAGCTTATTCTTCTGATCTTGGCGTCCTTTGGGAATGGACAGATTTAAATAAAGTTCTCTTGGTTATAATGTTCTCCAGGAGGAAGCCAACAGCTGGAAGGTCTCTAAAGGCAGTGAATGAATACATGGAGTGCACGCTACCTGCTTTCTCGATCAGCATACATCTCCATGTGCCGGGGGTTGATGGTGGGGTCAATCACAACCCAGGAGCCACCCCGCAGCTCGGCCTGGGGAGGGATGTAAACCAACACAGGCTGGGAGCACTCCCTCAAGCTGTCCACGATGTAGGCACCAAACTTTAGCACTTGGTCATACATATCTATGGAGAATGAGACAAATTAGAAAACATAAAACTTATCCACCCCAAAGCAGTGCTTCCAAACATTGTTCACATCATGGCACACACAGATAACACTCGGATGGCACACTATGCCTCCATGAGGTGGCTGCTCATGACCACGGTCCTGTTCAGCCACCCTGAAGACTAAAGGGATTGGAATCTTCACCTGTATCCCACTCAGGATGCCAGAGGATCTTCAAAAGCACAGGACAGCAACAGAGAAATGCACTTTCACAAGACACAGTGTGTAAACCTTCCAGATTGCATTTCCATTTTACATCCTTCCTGAACTTCTGTACTCTGTACCACACTAATTCACACTTGCTGTACAAACACTGAGTATTTTTTATGTCAATATGTGATCTCTCCCACTACATTAAGTTTTTGGAAGGATCTATTCTAGTTCTTTTCAATTCCTGTCATACTTAGCATAGGATGAGCTCTTAGAATGTGCAACTAATGGAAATGGATCCTTCAAAAATTTTATCTTTAAAAACTATCTTTCATCTTTGTATCCCCATTGTCCTGCCCAGTGCCTGAACATAGTTGATGCTCAATAAATATTTGCTGAATGAATGAATGAGCATATACACACTTTGGAAAGAATATAATGAGAAAGAAAAAACAAATTAATTCTTTAACAGCTGCATTTTTATAGGGTACAATGAGAGATAATTTTACGAAATAAAGGAAATGTCATACAAATTTCATTCACTGTAATCCCCCCAAGGCCAGGAGCAGCCTGAAGAAAAGGACCCTGGTGCTAAAGTGAGTCCTTGGAAAGCTGGATCAGTTATTTATTTCCCAAGTTTTTATGGACTTCTTCCCATTTCCCAGCTCACTGAAGTCTAAACATTGCTAAAGTTTTAGGTTTATGAGTCCAGATGTTTAATGAGTACTTCAGTGGAGCCACAATGGATCCTTTCTAAACACCAAATAACAGGTTCAACTGAGTTCAAACTTTCTTATCAAAGAGAGGATCTCAATTTGGAATAAATCAATTCTGGAAATCCATGGCAAAGAAGCATTTTTCAGGAAGTTAAGAGCAAACGAAATAGAAATTGCTTTCATTGTGGTTACTGGCAAATTAAACTGCCACCTTCTCCAAAGTAAAAATGGCTCTATATACAAACCTTCAGTGAGCATAGTTCATTGCAAAGCGCAGGCTCTATTGCCCCAACCTAGCTCGTCTATGAAGACTTCAGACATTCCAAGTTGCCCCTGGAAACACTCCCTACCCTGTGTGGAATGTGTATGGTTATATGCTCTGTATATATGATCAGAGCCAAGACATTTATTCCTTTGGGAGGAAAGCAAAGACCAAAAAAATTTACTGCTAATTACACAAATGCTGTATGAAGAGCAGAGAATAAAGGACTTTAAGCGCTTTACGCTAATTCTGTGGTTATGAAAATAATTGCTCAGTTCAAATTATTTTAACTAAATTAATTCTTTAGTGGATATTTCAACCAGTGCTACATAATAAAATAATTGTGTAATTAGCAGTACATTTTTCAGTGCTGCCAAGAGTACAGTCTCAGAGCAAGTAACAGAAAGGAGTGGCCCTCAATGGTGTCGTGCATCGAGAAGAAATGAAAGGCACAGATAAAAGGAGAAAATAAAACAATAAAAGACAGCACAAAAAGTCATTTTACCTGAAAAAGAAAAAAATAAGTTAGAGTTAAGTGAAGACAAAGTTTCCAGCCTTTTCACTCACTTCATTTTGTTAAGGACATATCTACATCAAACTCGATCTTTGTGCTATCTATGATTAACAGATCCAGCTGTCAAAAAGAAGGGGAGAGACTTTATTTATAATGTATTTTCATCCATTTCATTTTAAAAAGCCCTTGATTTCATGGTATATGCAAATACCTTGGAATGAAGATGAGTGTGTGTACATTTTTTGCTTTTGTGAAATAGGCTTTGGTTCCTCTTTTGCATCATCATGGCTAGCTGTGTACTAGAGAATGTGATTACATATACACACACATATAAATCATTTAATCAGAGCATCATCTTATTCATATATCCAAGTTATAGGTAAGTAAACTGAGGCTTAAATAAGAGTACATAGCAGAGATAACACTCAAATCCAGATCTTCTGGCTCTAAAGTCCAAGTTCTACGACCTCATTCTTAACTCATCATTCTTGTTGCCAGGAAAGAGAGCATGAGGCTGAGGTAATCTGCTTTCCCCATATACTATAATGGCTGAGTAAAATAAAAACCAGAAAAAAGACTTGAATAAATGATTATATATTCCTAAATATTGCCTGGATTTCCTCTATGTTCAGAAATGTCAGAAATTGTACTGATGACACTACTTGCCTATGTGATTGCCAAACAAATATCTTTAGGCCCCAAAACTGTGAGAAGGGGGCATCAGGTTTCATTAAAGGTGACATGATTGGGATCGAAATAATGCCTCCGTTTAACCTGGAACACCAGCAGACCCACAACACAAACATCAAAACACCCAAAAAGCAGGCTATTAAAATATAAGTGAACACACAAATAAACTCTGCCCTCAACATGCTCATACTGAATTGCAGCTGCCCCAAACCGCATATTTTGAAAGGCAGGTTGAAACACTTGGCAACAATCTGACATACAATTGTCTGAAATCCCTTCATATTTAAGAGATGGAGCAAACGCACAGCCACGAACAGCAGGCGAGGAGGGATCCCCAAGGAATTAGGCTAGAAATCAGTCTAGGGAATTTTAAAGCTCTGCATATGCTGACTGTCAATTCTCAGGCCCTGAGAAATGCAACTGGGAATGGAAAATACTGATAGGTTCTTCACTGGAGAGGCGGGAGCTTGGAGTTTTCTAGCATTCTGGGCAAAGCACATCTGCATGAATGGTGATCACACACAGCCTTTGCAGCACGTTCTCAGCACCCAGGCACCAGCCCTGCCTAAGGCCTTCATTGTAACACAACATGGATAAACCGTGGCAGCCACGTGTACCAAACAAGGGAGCAGGGTGGCCGAGTGTTTCCACAGTGCCCCGCACTCTCAGAACTGAAATAGATCTTACTGGCTTGGGCAAGATTTTCTGTTAGAAGCTGAAGGTAAACATTAGGCATACACAGACTGCATATACATAATGTCTCTCATGAGTTCATTACGGCCAGCTGACACTGTATTTCAACATCCAAGTAATCAGAGACTTTAAAATAGACTTTCATTCCAGTTAAAGTTTTCAATAAATGTTTTTTTTATTGTTATTTATAACCTGTCCCAGGAAAAAATAATAAGTATAACATGAAAAGCCAACTGAGAGTGACCCTGTAGCACCAGCAGTGAGGCAGCTTAATATCACTGGGATTTGCATCCTATCAAGCTATTCATGCTGAGGCTGGGACCCTGGTGCTAATTTCTAGTAAATTTCACGCTTGATGTCTCCCTGTTGTGGGTCATTGCCGGTTCGTCTAAATAAACTGCTTCCAAATGGCTCTTCCATCTAAATATTCAGCCAGTTTTTATAATTTAATTTTGCATTATGCTGAATAGCCTTCCGGCCAGATAGAGCTCATTGGAAAAAAAGCACCAATACCATCTTGACATGCTTTTATTTATTTATTTATATTTTTACTGCTCGAATTAGACCTCCTAGGCGGACTAGTAAAGAGTTTTTTTTTTCCCTCCACTAATGTCAATTTTCAGCATAGCAAGAGCTGTCTCTAATCTTTTCCTACTCATTACACACAATTTTGGAGTCATTTTACCCACAGTGCAGTCGGCTCCTGGCTGTGTGTTTGTGTGCACTGAGGGATGGCATAATTGTTTATTTTCCCTCCCTGCATAATCCCCAGCCAGTATTGAAACCAAAACTGCAAACATCTCCCCAAGGGATGTGAAGAATGACAAGAGGCTCTCAGTTTAGGTCCTTTACATGAGATAATACGTAGGAAACATCCTGACCTGTATGTAAATGTGAAAGGTGCTGTTCCTCCCCCCTCTTACTTTCACAGGCATCTCTATCTTTCCCAAAGCTTATTTGTCGTATGTGATGTGTAAAAGAATGTATCAGCTCCAAAATTCAGAAGACAGAACTGTCCCTGGTCTCTATCAGGCCAGTAATTCATTTCTGACCAGGGGCGGCAGGAAGAAGGGAATGGGTAGTTGTTGTTTAACAGGTACAGAGTTGATGTTGGGGATGATGAAAAGTTTTGGGTATAGATAGTAGTGATAGTTACAGAACACTGTGTAACTAAATTGTGCCACTAAATTGTACATTTACAATTGATTAAAATGATAAATATTATGTGTATTTTACCACAATTGAAAAAAACTCATTTGTGAGCTCTTGAAATTTCTTTTCACGATAACCAAGGGCATCCCCAAAGTAGAGGGGAAATAGGTAGATAACTTTTTCAGGAACCTTAACATTCCATTCTTGGGATATTCTGTAGGTCTCTTTCTGGTTTAAGGCTCTAAAATCAGCCAACTCTGCTACAGGGAGTCAGATCTACCTTCCTCTCCCGACTCTCATTTTTTTAGTTGAATGATCTTGGGAAATTTACTTAAGCCTTAATTTATGTAAAATGAGGATAACAATATAACCCACCCCTTAGAGATACTTGTTGTGATGATTATGTAAGATAACACATGTAAAATGGTTAGCACAGTTTCCAGTGAAAAGAGCTCAACAAATCTTAATTGTTGTTGTTCTTACTGTTACAGGGCTAGCAGCCAATCTGGGCCTGAGCCAAGTTATGTAGCAGGATTGAAGCTTTTCCTGGAAGTGGCACTTTGGAAACTTTTGAACTCTTGAGCTCCAGTTAGGATAAAATAGCCAGGCTGACTCAAGCAGTATCAGGAAGAGGGCATTCTCAATCCCCCCCACCCCACCGCCAGCCCCCCAACAGAGAGGTAACTAAGCAGTATAGCACTGCATTCTCTCCCAGGTCTCAATGTAATATTATGGCCAAAGAAGCTGGGATCAAATGAAATCTAATGTGGAATGATCCTCATATGCATAAATGTAGGGGTTTCAGGCCCCCCAACTTTGATATAATATCATCCTATTTTGAACACCCTGGTATTTTGCTTATACATTATGGCTTTTTCAGTCTGCTTAAGACATTTTTCTTGTCTCCTTGAGGCAATGTCTGTTTCTGCCTTTTTTGTTTTTTCTGAAGTGCCTAGCACAGTTCCTCGCACACAGAACTCAATACAAATGTGTAGGATTGACCTGTTTAACCTATACTCTCAATTTCTCATGATATTTCCACTGATTTATTATCTTAGTAAAAAACAATTTCACCTTGATAGTCTAAAAAAGTATACAAACATTAATTTGGATGTATAGTCTAAGTCTCCCTTGAGAAAAGTGCAAAATATAGTAGTTCTCTAGCAAACATAGCCAAAGTACAACTTTTCAACTAAAAAAACCACAATCAACCTACTCTACATTTTGCCAGGGAGGCCTGGCCATACAGGGCTCTTCTTAGCCAGGTAAAGGAAAATTGTTCACAAATATTTCAAATACCTCTCCCTGATCATCCATAAAAGGGTAGCTTCCCCAGGCTTTTCCTCTGTCAGAGGCAAGAGGTCCTCCTGCCCAAGCTATTTCTAGGTGCCCTATTGAGAATTCATTGCCTACAGCATTCTCTAATCACTTTATTTACTCCAGCAGTACCAGCTCCTCCCTCCTTCCATCCCCTAACTCATTCTACTACTTCAGAATCCTGAGTTCTCCCCAGATGAATGAAGTTTATCCTCCTCAGCGTACTCTCATACCTTCCAGGCATGTAGTCTCTGGCTGTTGCAGGGAGAGCTTCACTACTGTAAGGGGCAGAGTGTGTTTCCTTTGGCTCTCCCTGTACTGTCCACAGTGGCTCTACACCCAAGAGATTCTCGGTAAATGGTGATACTGGCTGCCTAATCACTGAGCAATCCCCACAGCGTGGAGTAGAGCCTTTGTAATAATGGTCTAATATGGTAGAGCCACAAGCCCGGGGCTGTTGCTGGATAATAATAAGACATAGCACAAACTGCCATAAAGAATAGGCTCTGGTACAGAATTTGTTCATTTTCTTCCAGTAATTGCTAATTTTAGTATCTATCTTGGTCACTGTAGAAAATTGGAGAGTAACATCAACAAAGAATATGCCCAGAAAAGAGGGACAGAGACAAGCACAATCACATTTCCCCAGGACCACCATAGGTGGATGTCCAACATCCACCTATAAAAGCTAAATCCATGAGAGTAGCTCACGTAGATAACACTAGTAGATGATTCTGAAATTTTGTATAGAATTATGAAACATACTGTATTTTCCCCTTCAAGTTGCAACTCAGAAGATATTTCAAAGGGAGTGTGATCCCCCAAAAGCCTGGGGTGATGACACCCACGGGTCCTGCCGAATCTAAACCCTCCCTCTCTGCTGCAGGGTGTCCAGTCATCAGTGATGCCCTCAAGCCCACAGCCACGCCAGTCACCTTTCATCCCACCCGAGAAGCCTCTCCAGTTGGCAAAGACCATCAGAGGCAGCCCTTCACGGTTGAAGTCCTTGATAGCCTGGTAGGTCTTAAATGCAGAGTCTGGGAACCAAACCTGGCCAGCTTGCTGGATTATCTATTGGGGAAAGTCAAAGAAGAAGACAATTAACAACACAGTCCGAGGGGAAAATCTCTCCAAGGTGAACAAGATTTTTCTGATTAAAAACTCAAAATCAAACCAAACAAACAAAAAGCAGTGTTCATCAAGATCACCTTTGGAGTAAAAAAGAAAGGATCCTAGATCTTTGACCTTGTCACATGCTCTTCTTTTTAAGTCCTGATTACACCACAACTCTTTAGTCAAAACAGGGAAACCTACCTCCTTCTAATGGAAGAATGCAGTCCTAGGAACTCCCGTTCTAGGCTTCTCAAAGGCGACTTTAAATGGCTCCATTACACAGCTCTTCAAAGCTAGTCAATCGCACAGAGTATCCAAGTCCTGTCACCACTGTGCTTAGCACAGCTTTTTCTGTACTGTGGTTAATCAACAGGCACTTGATGTGACACTGCTGAATAGCCTCCTCCCTGGCCTCCGGATGGTGTTGGGATGTGAAAATGCAATCCACCCTTTTAGAAAAAATGGACTATGGTGTTCATGCTTGGCGTTAGGGCAGACTTCATCATTAATTCTAGTTGTAGCTCTTCCATGTGCGTGCTCAGAGACTCTGGGACCAAAGAGCCCTCAGCATGACCTCAGCTGCCTTTCTATAAGACCACCTCCCAACAAAAGCAGACTGTTTCCTAGCATCGACAAGACCACTATAAAGGCCTATTTAATTTTTCCGTAGAATTTAGCTTGTGGTCCATCTAGACTCATCTTAAAAGTGAGCACATGGTGGCCTGAAATCATTCAAAGCTGCTGACGCCCTTCCCTCTAAAACTGATGGTTTGCAATGCTCCAGATACATCCACAGGCACCGAGGGGGGGAACAAGCTCCAAGCACAGGTGCGCAGTGTACTCGAGGTGACCTACCTTGGCTTCAGAATCCAGGTTTGCAGGATCAGCTGGGATACTTAGTTCTACTGTTCGGGTTTCTACGGCAACGACTCCCACAGGTATTCCTCCTAGCCTGATAAAAAATGAGCCACATAAGAACTCAACGTATGTCAACATTATAGCTAGTCATTTATTTTCCAATCCCACATCAGAACATTGGGGGAAAAAACTAGAAACAAACACAGAGAGCAGGGAGGAATTTGACTCTTCCAGGAGTTAAACGTGACACTCTATGGATTTGGTATTTACTCTGTAAATATGGTGGGAAACCACTCTCAGCATCACTCCTATTATGAAATGCTCCAACACAGGATAAATTTAAACCAAGGGCTGTACCGGGGGAGCCTCTGCATTTACACTCAACGGCCCAGGGCATACACATACCCATACTTCTGGGGCTGCCAAATGAAATTTCTTAGTTCATTCTATACCATCTCTTTGGTGAAGATAGTGGGAAATGGTCTGAGAGGTAGTAGGAACCTAAAACTTTCAGTAACTTTTAATGAGTGCTGGCTTTGCTAGAATAGGCAATGTAGTTTTCTATGAAATATTAATAACATAGTTCCAGACAAGATTTGAGGGTACAGTAGGTCTTACTGTTGGGTATGTGGATGAGGAGTGTGTAGGTGTGTTATTAGGAAGATGAAAAATATGTGCCAAAAGTAGGGAAGTGGATAAACAAGCCCTTAACTTTCTCTTTCACTGGAGAAGAGCAATGGGACAGGGATAATTTTCAGTAGTAATCTTGGTGAAATCCATATTGGAAGTATATATATAATCTCAAAGCTATGTTCATCTAAAAAACTGTTTAGGAGATCAAAGCCTCTGCATCTATACTCCATGTGGGAAAAATGAAAGAGAGGGGGAGAGAGAGGAAGAAAGAAAGGAAGGAAGGAAGAAAGAAAGATGCAAGGTATAGAGTGAGTCCTTACTCAGGAAAATGTGATTCAATCTTCATCCTCTCCACTGCATTCCTTGGGGTTGGCCTGGGATGGGTTATAGTCTCTCATTCCCCACAGCATCTCCATAACAAACTTTTCCATGAAGGATGGCCTTTGGTTGTTAAATTGGCTATGGGAAATGGATTCTTGTCATCACAAGATGCCTGACAGGGGCCTGAGTGGAGACCACCCACCCCCTTGTCACTTGCCTGCACTGAATCAGAATCAAAAGCCCTCTAGACAACCAGACAATGAGCAAGAGGTACACAGGAGAGTTTAGAAATATTTCTGTTCACAATGATTAACAATCGAACTGGAAACTTGTAATTGCAAAAGCCACCCTAAATCGGTAACTTATAACTTATATATTAGGGCCCATGTGACCTAATAAAGAACATCTTTATCCGAGTATTACAGTTATTTATTGAACTTGAAAACAGCTCAGAACAACTTCTGTTTTCTATTATACTTCATATAAATTTTATCAGGCTAGCACATGAAGATGCTACATCTTGTTTTATAGTGTGTCCCTGGACAAGGTGCCACGGAATAATAAAAGACAATTTACAGCCGATAGCACACATATTCCAAACATACGTACCAAAGATGAGTTTTGGCAGCACTTACAGTAACAATCCCAGAAGAATACATTTATATTTATTTCTCAAAATGCCACTGCTGTTGAAAGAAGCTAGCTCCATTTGTGTTTTATATACTTGTGAGCATGTGTATGTGTTTGGAGTAAGAAGCCCAGAACTCATCATATGGAAAGAAAGGAGGAAGTCAGAGTGAGTGTTGCAATAAACAACGGCGGAGCTAACCAAAGCCAAGCCTGACTGATCTTGGTTGCAGGGCAATCCCTATTCTTCTAATCATAACTATGAAGTATTGTTCCCTCATTTCCCATGGGAGGATCTTAAAAACCTTAACAAAAGTTTGGCTTTGGAGGCTTAAAATCTGTCATGTTTTTTACAGACAGGAAAACTGAAGCAGAATAGGTAAGAGATAAATTCTCGAAAAAGTTGGTTCTAGTGTGATGTGAGGACTCTACGTAAGGAGCTGGTGGGGCCTAGGCAGGAGGGCTCTTGTTCAAATGCATCCCCCACCTGCACCTCCCCAGTGGGAATTTCACCAGGCACAAAGAATAATTCTCAGTGGGACCCAGAAGCCCGGGATGAGGTAAAAGACCTGAGGCTTGAAAGAAAACAGGCAGCCGGTCTCCGTGAGTTTCAGTCTGAGCTGACTTCAGTCCCGACTCCTATTCAGAGTCACAGTGAAAGACCCTATCTGCAGGATTTGCCATTTGATGGCTCCTTGTCACTGGCAGCACGAAGCCTGCTGACCTGCTGTACTGAGAGAAAGCCACAAAGCCTAGAATTATTTTCAAGGCTAGAATCTAAATCTCAACCCAATGTGGCATGTTTGAGAATCTTGAACAGGTGCCACTTTTCACCAAGATAAGGAAAACTGATTGCCCCCAGAGGCAGGTGAGCTCCACATGCGGGTCCCTCAGCAGCATGTCTCTGCAGTGCAGAACTAGATTAAGATCAGCCTTGGCAGGTGCTCGTTATAGCGAGCGCTACAGATTATTTCGCACAGAGCTTGCTGTTGAGTTAAGTACTTCTTAGAGTGGGTATTAAAATTTAATAGAAACTTGAATTTCCCACTTGAAAAATTTGGGTATCCCGGCAACCTATTCCAGCTTATTTCACTTATTCCTGTTTTGGGTTACCTTTTTTTTGCAATTCAAATCTGATTATAATCCAATATAGTATGTTTATCACTTAAATAATCGCGGTGCCATGAAGAACTTCTCTCTGGTTACACAGAGAGGCAGATGAGTCTCTGATTCACTTGTCACCTACTCCTGAGAGAAAATGCTCTTTGGGGGACGAGAAGTCATTGGTGGGCTATGGCTATTGTAGTAGGGCTTTACAGCCTCTAAAGAGTTTTTCTTGCAGCATCATAAAAAGGAAATGTTGTCAAAATCAGCCTTCAGATTAAATGCATCATTAAGTGACACACAGAATGACCTCTGGGAACCAGCACTCCAGTTATGTTGCCTTGGGCATGGCTATAATCCAACACTCTTAGAAAGTTTAGACAAAGAGAGCATTATTGGTAAAAATCTATATAGCCATGGCCCTCAACTTTCTTTTTTAGTTGAGAGGAAAAAGAGCTTCCAAAACAAAAGAGTTCTTACCTGGCCCTACCAACCACCACCGTCTGTGCCCAGGGCTGCATAATCTCCGAGAAAGAGCCATAGTCAAAAAATCCACTCAACCACTGACCTTTATGGGCTACAGAAGGAAAAGAAGGAAAACAAAGAGAATAAAGACAGTCAATCCATTGATGATGCGCTGGAACTGACAAATCTAAGGTGGTTTGGGGGATTATTTTGGGGAGTTTGTTGTTTTTAATCATATTATAATAGACGTAAGTATTAGGCAGCTGAGTATTCATGTGCCTTCAGACATCATCTCCTATTTCATTTGCTAGTCTGCATAAAAAGAATCATTTATCAGCAAAAGCATCATTTATTGTTAAACAATGGGGTTCAGCTAGCATAGAGAGTTTGCATGCTTTTAAATAAATAACTTGGCTTTTTTCAAGACACCACCAACACTTGTCAAAAGGCAGCCAAGTCATTAAAGATTTTTTTCAAAATGTCTATTTCTATTTTAAAACTTACCTTACAATTTTGATTTCACTGATTGTCTTTTAATGGAAAGCTGAAAATGGTAAGTATTTTAACGATTAGATGAGGACCCAAATTTAGGGTGGAGGGAGGAAAGGAACTCAGTTTCTCTGCTAGAAAAGCAACAAGATATATCTACTCTACTCACAGCTCAGAAAGCATAATCTTTCTACAAGAAAGGCCATGACAGAAAGCAGAAATATAGTGGTTAAGATGCACACATTTAATACCATTAACCTGCCTTGCACGTGGAATTTCCTTCACTAGTGAGATACAACTTTTCACATCTTAGTTTAAGAAAAAAAACTTTTGTTCCACAGGTATGAATGTTTGACCAAAGCTCCATAAAAGCTTCTGCAAATAACTGTTTCTTAGTTTGCCCTCTCAGCTCACGGTTTCTCAGTGATTCTTCTAATTTGAACATGGCCCTCCACCCGCTAAAAACCCAAGTCCAAAACCAATTAAAAGTAGAGATCCAAGCAAGCTAACCTCTGCTGACTTAAACAGGATGGAGAGTGTTTTATCAAGACTAAACTTGTAATTACTGTGTTCTACATTCCTTGCCTCTATGGCCCCAGTGTAAAATGTGATCATCCATTTCAAAATTATCTCTCTATCGTGAGCCCAGAGCTGATCGTTTAGATTCCGGTCTCGTGTTGGGCGTCAGTTTGAAGAATATCACAGCACTATCTCCTCTAATAAATGACTTTAACTTTTCACCTAGAAGATATCTGCTTTAACTTATCACAGGGAATCATCTGCTTTCTTTAACGCTTCCACTAAATTAAAATCTGAAGTCACTCGATTTGGGACCGAGTGTTAGCTGCACACAGACAGTAGGATGAATTACTAGGGAGTCGATGAAAAAATATTATCCAAAAAACAGAAAACTTAGTTTATCACAAATTTCATTTTGTTCTGTGGATCTCATTAATAACAGCCAGGATGATGCCCACCTACACACACACATACTTCTATTCACCTCATGTAAGAGAGGCTTAAATTTTGATGAAATTTCTAAACCAAATTTCTAAGTCCATCTGAATATTTAAATTTTAACTTTATATGCTCAGATCATTTTATGATTCATATGTAAAAAACAATGACTTGAAACTACAGAATTAATTTCATAACGGAAATGTTGTTTTCTTTAAAAATCCTCCTGCCTTACATGTTGATTAGGGGAGGGGACTCACTGGCTATTGTAGTTGGGCTTCACAGTCCCGAAAGAGCAGATTATTTCCAGTTGAGACACAGAACTTAGAAGCCAGCTAACATGGGTCCTCTTGTCTTCCAGAACACTCACAGAGTCTTGTTCTCAATCCAGAAGCAAAGAGACCCACTACATTCTCAGAAAAGTCCTGGATTTTAAGGCTGATAGGTGTCTTAGGCTCATAGTTCTTATCATAATCAAGGTATAAAAATAAGAGGTGGGGGAAGATTACTATGGTGATTTTTATGGCTATTTAAGAAAAACTACTTAGTTTTTATTAAGATTAACAAGAAAAGGCATTAAAGACAACATGTAAAATTATAAATTATAATCAACATTTTTCTGATTTTTTTTACAATATCTAAGCTTCGGCTTCAGACAATGGATGCCCCAGCTCCTAAGGAATAGCTGTGTGACCTTGCACAACTCATTCAACTTCTCTGAGCTTATAAAATGGTTCTCTCTCATTATCGATGAGAGGCAATAAGCTCAAATAGGATAATGTATATGGAAGTGCTTTACAGTCCTACCTGGCTCACAGTGGGTACCCACAAAGGTTTATTAGGGCTTCCTTATGAAGACCTCTGTCTCTTTCAGCAAAATCACAATCACTCTTAAATTGAATGAAATATCTTCTGCAATCCACTCTACTTTTATATATATAGCTTTTCTTTGAAATAGTTGCAATAAACATGCAAAAAAGAACGTATACTTCCTCACACAAACTGAAAAAATAGATTAAAAATATAGCAGGAGGATTTGGGACTCCAAAAAAGAAACTTCTGATAAGTAAGGTTTGCTGGAACAGCCAAATAAGAAAAATGAGAACTTACATTTGCCTTACATGGAGTTACCGATTTTTTTTCTGTTATGTTTAAGTGAGGTAAAATCAACCCAAAGACAAAGGGATATATTAGATAAGCCTGGAGGGAGGGCTTGTTCTCACTCTATGTATCTATATAATTTAAAGACCTGGACAATCTCTTTATATGATCTTACAAAGTAACCTCACATTAATAACTGAAGTACCAATACTATGACCTCTATCATAAGAAAAGAAGGGCACATGCAGGGTGGGTGCTCAGCAATACTTGCTGAGAAGAGTAAACCCACACTCCACATTTGAGGGTCTCAAAGACATTCCCTAAAACTGACTTGGTTAATCTCCATATGATTATAGGGACTAGATGACCCAAGATTCTAGTCCTATAATTCCGTGTTTTCCTTTTTTATCTTTTTTTTTTTTTTTTGAGAGAGAGATCTCCGTCTGTCACCTGGGCTACAGTGTCGTAGCATCATCATAGCTCACTGCAGCCTCAAACTCCTGAGCTCAAGCAATCCTCCCGCCTCAGCCTCCCAGAGTGCTAGGATTACAGACATGAGCCACTGTGCCTGGCTAATATAATTCCATGATTTTATGGCTTATATTGAACTGTCTTAATGTCTCTGAACTCATTAATAAGTGCTTTAACAACAGAATAAACAAACGAAATGTCATAGTGACTGCACTGCCTGACTCAATGGCTGATTTGTAAGTCTCGTTTCATTTATTTTTCATTTGTTCATGAAGGGTTTTCCTCACCTTTTTCTTCAGAGAGCTGTTTTTCAGATATTTCTCATTTCTAGGTACTTAGCTCTGTTTTCTTAGTCACATACTGTTGTGCAGGAATTGGACAGTGATTGAAAGGAAGACTAAAAGCTTGAGAGCCAGGGTACCACAAGGTCCTCAAACATATACGTACTTGGGTGAGGACGGCCTGCCAGCATCCATCGAGGATCATATGGGGCCTTTGTGGGAACAAACTCGATGATTCTATCTATGGGATCCTTGGAGCTCAGAAGAGGAACTGAACTGTGCACGCTCTGAAAGGAGATTGGAAGAGAAAGAGCACAGCAGTCAGTGAACAACAGTCCTACACTCCAACTCAGCAACAATAGCCATAGACGGAGACAGCGGGGGTCACATACAGAATTACACCCATTAGTCCCAATCATCAGCCAGAAGCATCCCAATTACCTGCCAAGCCCTAAGGAACATGTACAGGTCTCAAGTCTCATTTAGGAGCCTGGCACAAAGTGGTACATTTGACTCTTGCTTTCAGTGTGCCCACGCTTTCCGGACAGCTCCCTAGAGGGATGGATGGCTAATACAAAGGAGAAAACCCACAATAAGGAGGAAGCCTTAACATGCTGGTATCTGAGACCAGATGGGCCATGAAGACTTGTGTGGCTGGAAAACATTAGAAAGGAGCCTAACTTACAAAATCCAAAGGCATTTTAAAGGTAGAAGAGAAATCAACAGCTTTCAGAGAAGTATTTCATAAAAAATTCCTCCACCATAAAGACAAGACCTCAAACACAGAGGCGAGGAGCTGTGGTGGAAATGACAGGTTCCACAGGCTATGTCAGTGCTGGGTGGGAAGGGCTCACCTTAGGCATGTAGGACAGCCAGTACAGGACAGTGAAAACCCCTTCAAAGTCATCGCAAACGGTGCAGTGGGTCACTCCATTATTGTGCATGATCTGGATGCCTCCAAGCTGGTTATTGGAGGTGTACACCTCCCGCCCGAGGACCTAGAGAAACGCGCAAGAGAAAAGACATTTGTCTCTACAGAAATAAAGGCATAGCCTATTTCATAATTCTCACTAAAATGGGTTCTTTTCTCCACAAGGCAGAAATCCCAGCCCCTGTGGGTTGTTCTGAAGGACTATCTGAACCTTCTTCCTAAGAAGAAAACTTAGAAAACAAAAAAGGCTTTTAATAATCAGATACACCATTGCAATTTAAAAACCAGCAAGCCTCTCTCTCTCTACTAGCTGCCACAGATATGCATAGCATACTTCGATTCGGCTGAAACTGCAGGGGCAAGTGAGGCTGGGACCTCGAGACACAGACTACCTTATCACGTGCAGGTCTTTTTGTGCATATACACAAAAAAGGTAACATGCCTGACTTTCAACGATCTTTAGTGACAAGTCTCAGTTAAAGAAACTCTATTGGGGCTTGGGTTTCTCATTTTTAAAAAGGATTCTTTTTTTCCCTTGCATTTGATTTTTAAAGCTGGTCCCCACACAAAAGTCCTAAAGCTGGCAAAATCCTGAAGCAACTCATGGTACACACACGAACCCCTGAGTCTCAAGTCTTCTTTGTGTACTGGGTGCAGAGCTGTGATTTATACCCAAGCCCGCTTCCCCTCCTCCTTCCCTTCCGAGCCTGGAGGGGTTCAGGGCTTCAGGCCTCAATCCCCAGTGTATCCCTGGAGTTTAACCCTTATAAGGTTGAAGGGCACCTGCAATTGGAAACCACAAAGTTTCCTTTACAGAAGAAAAAAAGGAAGAAAAAAATATTCTTGGACTTAGAAATTGTGGGGTTTCTTTTTCCCTTGAAGATTGGTTAATAATTTCTTTCAGGGAGGGAGGTTTTCTGACCCAGCAGATGGAAGCCGGGCAGCCTGATCACTGACTATTGCAAACTGCTGACTGTGTAGTAATTGCCAGTCATCTACGGTAGCCCTGGAGAGCTCTAAACAGTTGTAGAGCACTTACTGTATTTTACCTTTTCTTCTTCCTCTCCCCGTCTCCTTTCAAAAATAACGACAACACAACATTTCTTCCTTACTAACTTTTATTAATTTTCAGTCTCTGGGGAGAACCTAACAAATTAAGGGCCAGCAAATTCTACCTGTATATTCCCATTTTGCCCCTTCTTGTTAGGAGCTTTGAGAGTTTCCCCTACATGCTAGGTCAGCCCCTACATCAAGACCTTCCAAAGGCTGGGGAAGTTGGTGACCAAAGTAATAACCTCAGTGTGACCCAGCTGGGCCTGGTTCCATTTAACTTCAGCTAGGAAGTGCGTAAGAGACTTCTCTGAAAGGAATATGGAAAGCAAAATTGCTCTCAGATTACTGTTTTCCTTGATAAGGAAGCACAGAAAACAAGCCTTTACAGACAGCCCCAAGCTGAGCAACATGCTGGCGACTCCTTTGAAGGAGCCCCGTGAACAGGGGAGACCGTATCTGACCACTGGGCTCCCATCCTCCTCCCAGTCCGTCTTTAATCTCAGCCCAGGCACTGCGGCTCTTTTCTCATTCTCCTGCTGTCTCTTTCCATTTGCCCTCTCTCTGACTGATACACTGATCTCTCGGTCACTCGGCTTTCTGCTCCACTGAGTCCATATTACTAATAACACCTCCGCCACGGCCAGTTTACCTCATGAAGGCAGGAGCACATCATTACAAAATAAACTCATAACTTTGACATTCTAGCAAATACACGCCGTTTGTTATTTTTATGGCTTTAGTCTTTCTAACAGGCAGAGGGCATTACATACCTGTTTCATTTATATCTTTAAATGTGTGCACACATGCACATTCACACACGCATCAGGAAACAAAACAGAACAAAAAAAATCCAAACCAAAACAAATATCCAAAGCAGTCAGTTGATGGGGGACCCTGGCGGAGGCAGAAACCCTGTCACTCAGGGAGGCCATGCTCTGATCTCGCTCTGGTTTTATGGTCGTCATAAACCCGATGGCCCACAACTGGTCCTTCTGGGACAGACTGCCTCTCTGCTAGAAGTCATTCAGTGTGATCAGCAGTATTTTTAATTATTAAAATAAAATTGGAAAGGCAAAAAAGGAATAAAAAAGGAGACAGTGTGCTGACCCTGAATATCTGATATTCACAATCTATGTCAGGAGCCAAGTATTTCTTGGCCTAGAAGAGAGAACCGGGGCCATTTTCTACTCAGAAACACTATTTTCTTTCCTATCTCTAGTACTTGATAATGTCCAACCACTTAGAACCTCACACATCTCGAAAATTAATAATGGACAGATGAAGGACCAAGCTCAGAAAAAGGGACTGAAGCAGACCAAGAGCTGCTTAGCTGTCTAAACACACCTTTGTCAGACACCTCTGCCCTCTCATTTCAAAGAGGAAGAGCATCCAGAGACAGGCTACTCCCAGAGATTCTCTGCACCTATCCATCCTACCCTGTATTTTTACAAAAGGATGGGAGACAAACTTGGTAGGAGCAAGAGTTTGATAACTTAGCACATCTTCCCTTCACAAGCTAACACTCAGGTTTTGATGCTTTGGCATTGTTCTGAAAAAGCACAATATTTCTAAATTTCTTCTCCTCTAGGTTCACAAGAAAGCCACCCAGGGCTTAATACAACCAAGAACATTAATTTCTGAGCTAAAGAAATGTTTGTCATGTGAGAAGATTCATTTAATTCAGAAATTAAAGAGAAAAATTATAGACTAGGCTAACAGTATCCAAATACCTGTCTTTGACCAGCCTTATCTTGGGAGATGGGGGGTGGGGGGGATGGGCACAGAAATGAAATCTGCTCCACTAACCACAAAGAAATGCTAACAATCGTAGCTACTTATCAATCGGTGAAGAGAAAGCATACCCTCCAGTTCATCTTCAACGACCGCGTGTTTGGAGTGTGCACCAGTAGAATGAGGGCGCACACAATAGCTCCTGATTTATAGGGGTCGTTGCTGACTCAAGTGGTTTTAATGATTTTAGAATACTTCAAAACAAAAGCTCCAACCAAGGAAGCAGAATCTGGGCTAGGACAAAATCCATTCTGCCTAGCTCTGAAACGATCACACTGGAAGTTACACAAACCCTAATCGGCATCGGGAAGATAAAAAGAGTCCACACAGACAGAACCGTTGTGTTATTCCTCAATATGTTCCCTACCAATCTTCTACGGAAAACCTTGGGGTAAATAACCCCCTCATCAATATATTTTCAAGAACTAGGTGAGCTTCATTCATCATTCTTTTAAACCTCAACATATGCTTTCCTGTATCTGTCATGTTGATTGTTATGTTTCAGTTCCCAAATTATTCCTCTCACATTTTCTACTGTATGATACAAACTTCTAATTCATCTGCCCAACAAGCATCAATAACCATTTAAACACAGGAGCCATTCAAATGGAGGAGACTCTCCTGAGGCCCCACTTCGTTGCCCTCCAGGTCTAAGTGGAGAAGCAATACCATGAAATATTAGGATCAGGCACCATCTTGGGGTCCTCTGCTGAAGAGCGCCACCCTGACAGAATTGAATAAGGGCTAAATCTGAGCGGAAAGAGGATCTTCACCCATTCTTAATATAAACTTAAGCCTCATCCAGCATTTCATTCATTGCAACTGGAAGACCTGAGCACTAAGGGCACCACATAAAAGCCGGTGATTAGCAGAGACACAATTGTTAAAGGCTCTACCAAAGATGCTACGCAGCCTTTAGAAATGTTGAGATACATAAGAAGTACAAATGAATGCAGGCATACCATACATGCTAAGGCCTCTGCTGCTGTTGCTGCTTATCTAGAGACACTGCAGACAGCTCAGGTTTACCACAGCTGACAGGCAATGAAAACAGTCTAATATACCGCCTGCTCTCTCCCTTAAATCCCTTTTTGGAGATCAAGATAAACACGTTCTTCCTTTCCCCAGTGCTCCAGACGTTTGACTGAAGTGGCAGAGCATTGTGAGGTTTTGTGCAAATGAAATCGCTATGTAATACTGAATGAGTATAGTATTTACTTGTCAGGATATTTGTCAGCACAGGCATTGAGATTTCTAAGTTTCATAGATGCAACTTAGCTCAATTTTTTAAAAAATTGCTATTGTCCTGATACACACTGTTGCAGAACCTTAGACTTATAGGCAAATATTTGCAATCATGTGCTGAAGATGTGAAAAATAATGATGCATATTGATGATGGAATAAAAAATGAAATCTACCGCTGCTTTCCCCCGTTCTTAAACAATCCTCGATGGGTCAGGGCATCTTCTATTTAAAGAAGCAGAGAGTACAAAATTCCTCCTGCATCTAAAAATTAGGCTATACAAGCTGAGTCCTCACACAATCCTCCTTCTCATTAGGATATTTCCATTCTCAAGAGGATATGAGGAGGGGTTTTGTAAATTTACTGAGCAACTGTCATCACTGGATTTCATCCATGATTCTAGATATTAAAGTCACTCTGGGATATGCCAGGTTATTGATAAAGGTTTTGCTAAAGCAGAAAGAGAGAGCAGATATGAGAAAGAATAGTGGGAGTACAGAAAAAGTGGTAAAATAGGGACAAAAGGAGGAAGGATGAGAGAGAGGAAAAGGGAAGGGGAGAGAAAAGAGGAAAGGGAAGAAAAAAATGCAATAGCTCATCTACTCAGTGCTGCTAACATCCTCCTCCCTGACCTGAGAGGACTACATTTTTAAAAGCTGACAAGTAATTCAATCTCCAATTAACAATTTTAAGTGGCACAGCACATATTACTGTGTAAATGTTTCTCCAGGAATATATCCAAGGGTGAATGGAATTAAATCTCTAGAGAGACAGAACTAGTGCCTATGTGACCAAGAATATTTGAGGGTTCCAAAATACAGTTTCTTAACACACAGCCACAAGGATTATAACTTCTTTTCCCCACCTTTACTGTCATTGCTGTCACTGGCAAACTGGAGTGCTAGTTGGCAGCTGGTAGACTAGGTTTGGGGGTAGAGAAGGGACTCAGTGACATATTGCTGACAGAGGAGGGAAAAGC